GTGTAATTTTTTTTCTAAACGATAAGTTGATGATACACTTCACTAAAAAAAAGGGCCATACGGAACAAGAAGAGTTTCGCAGGAAATCGACAAAGCCTTGAAAAAGTATTTCAGACCTTTAACAAGTCTTTTTGAAGGTGTTTTAGGTCCGTGAAAAACCTTAAAAGGTTTCGAATTTGTTGCAGTCTACGTTTTTTATGGTGTCATTTTTTTAGAATTTGCAGTGTATATAGAAATGATCATTGGTCGCAGATCTTCGGGGGCGGGAGGGGAGGGCACAGTGGACGACCGCTGGACAAATTTGTTTGCTTACATTCTAATTTTCTCGGTTGTATGACGTGTAAAAAAGCTTATTAGTATCTCATATAAAAGCTCATTAAACGCGCCACAAAACGCATGTTTACCCTTTGCTCCAAAACGTTTTATCAAAAATGCTGGAAAACTTCTTTTTTTTCCTAGTCTTTGCTCACTGTCCACTGCGGAGTAGAGTGATAGGCAAAGTGAACAGAAAAAGAGGACCAACTGTAATTCTTTTAATGAGTGCAGTTATTAACTTAGTATCTTGTGTATATATAACTAATAATTCATACTGATTATCTTCAGTTACCCAACACCCTTACTCAACAAATTCCTGGAAAATGAAGTTTTCGGATTTTGAAAATTGCGAAGAACACAATAAAAACTAGTTGTTCTATGATAATGGTTTTTTAGCAAAAATGAGACAACAATTTATTTTTCATATACTCGGTACAGTTATTAAATATGTATTATATAAAACTTTTGTGAATTAGTTACTCTCCTTGGGTCTGAAGCAGGTTATCATCAATAAATTATCCTGAATTTTTGAATCCTTGCAGACAAAAAATAATAAGGCTTCAAATTAGACGTCATTTTCTAGTTTTCATTTGATATTAATCTTCATGGGCGAATTATCTAAATGTAAATCTTAAGTTTTTTAAAAGAAAGTTCACTGTTTGGTTAGAGTGGAGCATACAAATACGTATATGTCAAAGATCTTTAGGAAAAAATTGTGCCTCAGCAGTTTATTATTTGGAAAGCTTTTTTGCTAGCAAATTATGAAAGGTTGGTAAGCAGGTGATGCATACAACTCATAAAAACTAGAGTTTTGTATATAAGAGAGACAAGTTAAAACACACTTCGTAATCTAAAATTTTTAGAAAATTATATAATCTCTAACAAGAATTGATTCACAGTTGCATTTGTTTTGATAATACCGGCTGTTTATGATCTGATTGGTCAACGTTAGTCACAAAAACCACTTAAGTTCAATAGATAGTTTTAGCTAGGTGAATACTTACATAGAAGACATCGTTTCTTTTTTTAATTTTTTACCTACGCATCAGATAATATTGTGAAAATATACAGATTAGGTTGAAAAAAGTGCTCAAACTCAAGTCAACAAATATTGAAGGAAATTTACCACATTCAAATGTTTAGGTTTGATGCAAGTCTACTTGTGGTGTGTAAATGAGCCCAGCCCACTGATGCTATGAAGTTTGTCATAAGAAAACGAAATGACAGAAATACTTTAGGTCGGTTTATAGTATTTCGCGAGTTTCAGCAATGTCTCTGGTATGTTGTAGAAAATTTTTATAAATGTTATGCGAAGTTCGAAATTATTCTGTAATATGTCCTGGAACGTATTAAAATGAGTTTCCAAATATTTCATATTTTCTTAAGTTCTGTTTAAAGCCTAAATTTCTCGATATTCACAGTATGTATTGCAATCTTTGTTAGCTCTTACTACAAAAATTACTAAATTCCACTAACATTACTTGTTTTGAACGAAATTTCGATAGGTCGTGAAATTCAGTGTCATTTTACGAACGGGAAAATTATAAAAGTATGAAACAAATCACTTTGACACCCTCGAACAAGTCTTTTTCCCTTTTGTCTTCTTATACTCTCCCACTTTACATCAAATTTATTACTGAGTAAAAATATGACATGAGAGTTTTCTTAGTGTGATCTGTACACCACAATGAAATAAAGCTTTCATATAATATCTCTACTCAATGATAAATTTAATACAAAGTTTGATGTCGTAAAAAGTTAGAGAAGAAAGATTTTTATTTGAAAGTGTGCGTCTTACAAGGGAACAAATGCATGTTTTTTCCCATCTATTTAATTTCTAAGGAAGAGTCAAAGAACCTATTTTAAAATAAAATAACTAATCTAAAACCTAAAGTTAGTATACGTACGCTTTTTATTTACCTATTCGAAATTTCATGAACTAGAACATGAGTGATCACTGTATAAAAAATGTAAATAAACATTCTGATAGAAGGTTACATTTGAGGCACTATATCTCAAGAAGGCTTTAAATGCGGATCTTTGCGCATCCACTGAAGATAGATGATGACATGCTCTATTAAATAACAAATTAAAACTTGGATTAAAGTTTCGGAAAAATCTGGACAAATAACTGCATTATTAACCAGTGTTAATTTTTTTACTATTCTGAGTGTAATTTTTTGATTTTATTATAGTCTAAAGAACTTCATGAAATCCAAATGGTCTGTAATATATAGTAAATACATAACACTGTATAACTATATAATAACTAATGAATATAATTAGGTCCTCAATTTAAAGCATACATTTTACTTGTATGATCCTATTAATGATATTCACCTATTTTATGTATTTTTTTGATATCTGCTGCTTAACAGACACTCACTATAAAGCAGCGTCCAGGATACTCTTAAATGCAGCACTATTGTAGCTGCAGTGCTAGCTATGCTATAGGCTCAAATCTCGAAAGTCGATTTTGTTGCCTGGTTGTCCAATATGAGCGAGGAGAGAGGGATCGCTAAGGGCTTATCCATATGCATCTCGTTGTGATACAAACTATACTAGAATGCAAAAGGAGCATCTACTACTTTCACCAAAAAAAGAAACTTATCAAAACGACTGCACATAATAGTATGTCCGATATTAGACTGAGCGCTTTGTCATTATTAGCCATCGAGAGAAATATTATTCTTGATTATGAAAAGATAATTGATGCTTTCTCAATTTAGCATAAGAATAATCGAATGCAGTTAAAATGATTCGTTTTTATTTTCTTTTTTTTATTTTGTCAATTTAATTTCATTTAATAAGAGAACCGATATATAGGTTTGTGTTACTCACTATGAACTAGACCAATTAAGAAACTTGATTTATACTGAAGAAAAACTTTAAATTGAAGTGACAAGAGATTTTTAGGACGGTGGGCTCTACTCTCCCATCCATGATTTCCTGGATACGCTACTACAGTGTAGTGCAAATATCCTTATAGCCGTGCCTTAAGAATCAAACACCTAATGGTGGTAAAATCTGCAATATCGCAACCTGGAGTCTTAAAGAGCTAGGTTCCAAAACATTTTTGTGATTACACAGTTCAAGAAACTATAATGCTATGCTACAAAAAGTTTACAGTAATATGCCGACTTCTCTATCACGCTCTGTGCGAATAAGATGTCTAAATTTTCCGTTACGCAGTTCAACACTTCTTAGCAATAATTTTTTATAAAAAAATTGACACTACGAAATCAATGACAGCGAAAATAAACACACACACAGACATTATGGAATCAATTTATCAGTTCCAGACGCTAGTCTTTCAGTCTAAGAAATATGTAAGATAAGATAGATAGCGTTTTCAGACAAAGAGAAACAAAATGTATTAATTATTGTTTCTAGATCTTCGATATTCCGTCTAGAAAATTGAAAAATCGTGTGAAAATCTGAAATGACCGGGTTTAAAAAGGCAAAAAATTCAAAGTAGCATGTCAACCTGTTGGCCAGTGTCGATGATGTTGTAGAAGTGTTTTCGGCATTTTCGTTACGGCCTGTGCCAGGGATCAACAGCTACATTGCAAAGGCAAAAATTAGAATTATCTGGACCCGTTAATGTGAAAGCCCTAGAAAATGCGAAAGCTCATTAGAAATTCAAGATTCTGAGGCTCAAAAATATAAAATAGTATGTTGGCATGTCTGTTATTACCTGGACTAACAGAGGGTGTCATCTTTCTTGCTACATACAGTGCCCATCATGAGTTTAGAAACATGTAAAACTCAAACTAACTTCACAACTATGTATGTCCATCAATTAAACATCGAATACTTCATTCGAAAATCCATTGAGGCAGTTATCTTCAGTAAAATTTATTTGGTAAAGGCTAACATGTGATCTTGATATTGAAAAACATCTTCGAATTGATAAAGTCCAGTTTTCTGTTTTATGTGTATAACTCAGAATAGTGTTAATCAATTTTCTTGAAAATTTTGCTAAGAAGTTCTCATATGATTTTGAGTCTATGCTAAAATACTTCAGAACTATAAGACTAAATGAAGTCGAGCCAGAGTCATAATATGGGTCCACCCAGCGCACTGTCTGGCAACTAGTTACTTGAGTCTCGATCGTGTATGATGAGCTTTTGGCACTAGAGACAACAATCATAGCTTGTCAAATTACAGAATAACAACAACAAAAATTTATAAGATTGTTTTCGATCAATATGTTCAACAGTGGCGAATACCTTCTTTGTGAAGATATACTTCCTATCTCAATCAATCTACGAGAGGTAGTGCTATGGAATAGTGCATAATAAAATTTTGGTCATTAAAATGCTCATTGTTACTCCTTTCAATGAACGGACTCGTGTACAATAAAACAGTTTTTCTATATAGATAGTGAAACGCAATCAAGTCAACAAAAATGTATCATGGAACACGAAAGAATATTCGAGTCTGATCTAAGCTGTGTGAATAATAATTAAAACTTTTTTGTCACAAATTGCAACAATATTTTGAATAGAACATGCTACTATTGTATGTATGAAACATTCCTTTGAAAGCAGCGAATACTGTTAGTTTTATTACATAGAGAACAGCTATTATATACTCACATGTCAGTTCAACTGGCCATCTCATTGAATGGATTCTTGTGACTATTGTTCTGCTCTTTGAACTAAATGTATCATAAACACGGCTTATAATTGAGTTAAAATAACATTATATGATGACATTGCTTTCTTACTGTCAACTTTAGCAACAGAAATCGATGGCCATGAACTTGAATTGATATGATTTCGTTTGGGACCTCTAAACCAATGACGAGCAGAAGCAACCCAATAGGTTGTAGCTATCAATGCTAAGCCACCAACGATCACAATGGCATAGTTCATATTATCGCTTGTTACGGGATAATTTGCAGGAAAGAACATGAGTATTGAAGTGATTAGAAGCCAAACAACTGAAACAATAGCAATGGGCAGGCCGAATCGACCTAAATTGACTTCACCAACGGTAAAACTCTTTCGAGCAACTGTACATCGAAAGAAAATAGGCATGCTATAAGAGATTTGAAAACCCAGTGTCGTAACTGAGATAATAGCAGCAAACGCAGTGGTTGACACTAATTGGAGTAAAACAAGAAGACAATCAATAATCACGACAAAAGCTACAATAGCCAATGGTGCTTTCGTCAGCGGAAAAATCCAACGAAGAGAAGACGAAAATGGAAATACACCATCACGAGCCATAGCAAAACTAAAACAAGAAAAGTCATCAATTTAGGAAGAAAAACTTTCAACGTTATCCTTTCGGGATTAAAATTTGAAACATAATGAATTTGTTCTATTCGTTAAGCCCAGTCCTAAACCACGCCGATCATAATGATGCTCGGAAGCTCTCCTGACTCTATATGTCTGTCACAGTCTGCATGGAGTGACTCAACAACTTTCTCATTATCTACTTCAACAATCATTCCTAACTGCGTTTCATAAAAATGCAAATGTCACACAATACCCAATCCGACTGGTCACTGTAATAGATGACATGCCGCCAAAGTACACATTAAATACAAGAAGAATTGTTAGTGCAAGAGCGCCTTGATGAGGTACAGCCAATCGGTAGGTTGCGACTGCCAAATTGAGCGGAGAATCGTTACCACTGTTATTTTCCACAAACGATGCCGTGTCCGGAATTGCAAATAGCAGAGCGAGTAAGTAAGCAGCGCCGACAATAGCACCGATTATACAAGTGCCTATGATCCCTTTGGGAGCTATAAAAAAGCATCGAATTTCAAGTTTTACCCAAGATCACAAGAAGCATTTCTCATCCGTTCAAAACAAAAAGCGACTTCAAGTTTTTGGTACTGTTTATATAGATGTATCCAATCAGTATATCAGATATTTACTTACCTGCACGACCAGCGTGTTGAGTCTCCTCAGCTAAATGAGCACCGGCTATAAAATTTAGAAGTGATACGAAAATAATAATAATTTCAATCCAATAAATATTACCGTCGTAACCGGACAATGAGTACAGTGTTGAAAGGATACTAATAAAACATAGGTATGAAAAGGGAAATCCAGTACCATTGTATGTGGATATAAAAACATCATGAGCAGAAGCTCTTTCAGGTGCCATAACCAAGAGAACAGCAATAGTAGTAATTGTAGAAGTTATTTGAAAGATAGCAGCAATATTATTGAGCCATCCTTGTTGATCGATTCGGAATATGTTTTGAATGGCCCATACAAAGGTAATGCCTATGCTAATTCCTACTTGCGCTCCTATACTCAGCGACTCTTTACCATTGAGAACAAGAGCAGCATTAACAATGGTAGCGAAACCGGATGAGAATGCAGCATTAGCTTAAATACGCCAAAAACAAAAGCTGTTCAAAAAATTGTTCTTCTTCCTTACCTGCTGCATTACCAATGAAATTAAACCATCCACAAATAAATGAAGCTAATGGAGCATGCTGAGAAGGTACCAGTTGACCAGCCCTAGAGTAGAAATATAGTTTATTTTTTTTTAAATTTGCTAACAATTCTTTATTAGGCACCAATAATAGACAGAACCAGCGCTTGGATATACAGAGCAAATTTCAGCCAATGACAGACCCACAAGAATTGTAAAACTAGATCCAATAAGCCAAGACCACACGACCATAGCCGATCCACCAGTGTTTAATGCATAGGTGAAACTGATTGAAATGGATGTGAGTACGTTGACAGCAGTGAAACAGAAGGCAAATGACATGAATGGTGAAAAGCCACGATAGAGCTCTTGTTCATAGCCCATTTCATGTTCACGACGGATGTCTGGCTCTTCTATGTCTTCTTGTGCTATGATAGATTTCTTTGCCATGACAACGACGACAGGTGAAGGATCAGAAAAAGGCATACTATATTTTTTTTGAAATCTGAAATTGAAATTCTCGCAACATGTATGGAAAGAATTCATTCGATTCATCGGCATGTCTCTCTATGGTGTTTATAAATGAATATTTTTTTCTAGCAAATACAAATACTAGACAGAATTTTTTAGTCGTTTTTCCTACATGAACTAAATCAGCCGTTTTAATTTTCAAAACTCAGAGGCTTGTGTTTAATATATATGTTCAAGTATACAAGCAAGGGAACAAAATACAGCTTTATCCTTTCGATTTATAGTTTTTTCAGAACTCTTTTTTTCTTTCAACGTAGTGATTGATATGCTCTTGAGATTATTTGAATTATCAAACTAATATCAACTGTTTCAATACATACTTCGATTCTTTCAATCTCTTCGCAGAACCTATTGGACTTGTCTCGATCATCGTGTCACTAAGAAATAGTCGAAATCATTAGAGTACAGAATATTTTCAACATTCAGTCTCTTTTGTGATTACTTCGAATTTTTTGCATTGGCCAATCTTTGATCAACAGCTCTTCGAAAACCCAAAGGAAAACCTGAATTTGAGCTTGACAACGGCACCTAATCAACCATTAGCGTTTGTCACTACGACTCGATTGACCCTCAACTGAGTTCCATCTATTCATAATCTCTCATCATTTTCTGGCTTCTGTTTTGAGAACTGTCCCTGAACACACACGGTCATACCAAAAAACTGATTATAATATTGCCAGAGACGACCATTTTATAAACAGGCCAAATCTTAATAAGAGAGAGCTAGCAGTCGGTCGTCGGAGTCCCTTCATGCAGTCACTTACGACTGCTTCATTTTCTTGTTCAGGACATTCCAGTAGTACCGAAGAAACGCATAAAAATGCATTTTTTATAATCATGTTGACTATCAACTGCCCATAGTGAATATAATAAGAAGACTACTAAATTTAAAGTAATCGAGTCCACTGTTTAGGTGGTGTAGTCGGAATGGGACTCACAGGTATGCAACACTGATTCTCACAGCTTCTCGTATAAAACTCACAGTACCGTATATCAAAAGCTATCTCGTAAAAGCTCGATGAAAATAATCCGCTCTCTTTCAACACAGCTTTCGGGATTCTTATCAAAATAGCGTTCGAAGATGCAAGGTATTCATTCTCACAATCGTTTTTCATATAGAATAGAAGGGTGTAAAACTTTAAAGTTATTAATTTCAAATCAGTTGATAGAGAAAAGCAAAATCAAACTCGCTAAAGTAGTTTTGGATTAGAGTTCCACACAACGGAAGGAAACACAACAGATGTCCCACAGCCAATCGAGAGGGGAGGGGGGAGCGCATCTTACTGTACTTCAGCGTACTCTCTGTACTTCTGGGCTGTAGCGAAGGTTTGTCTGCAAACTTTTTATGTTATTTTAATACCTCTGGTACTCAGCGTTCCGGCATAGTAATCGGAGTCCAGTCTGCATAGGCCGGTCAGACGTCAGAGTTCAAATACTTCATTGTACTTCACCTTTACTCAAATTTGGGAGTACAATGAAGTGTTTGGGCTCTGACGTCTGACCGGCCTATGCAGACTGGACTCCAATTACTATACCGGAACGCTGACCACCAGAGGTATTGAAATAACACAAAAGTTTGCAGGCAAACCTTCGCTACAGCCCAGGAGTGCAGGGAGTACGCTGAAGTACAGTAAGTCGCGCTTTTTCTTCCTTGCCCAAAACTCAAATCTGAACTGACCTCCCAGCGAAATTTCATGAAAGATAATTCACATTGAAATATTCCAATTCCACTTGCATGTATACAAATGAGGTACACTACTGCTATTAGTAACACCCTTAAATATAGTATATTTCTTTGCAACTCAAAAGCTTTAAAATCATCCATCATCCTGGAAAAGGTCACGGGGTTATCTGGCAAAATTGTGGCTTTCGTACAATTACGCTTGAATTAAACCAGCAGTCCGATCTCCTCACGACTCAGTTCGACGATTTTTGGTACTTCTTTGAGAATATGTCTTTAGCCCATTTTTTCACAAGAAATTAAGACTTTTCTCCTTTTTCAATTAGTATAAAAAAGTATGAACCTCAATCGATCAATCTTTAGTCATTGTTCAATAGCATGCTGATGACATTAAGTATTTATTCGAACTACGCTTACTGGATGAAAGATAAGTATTCAAATAGTTGATAGCAGTGCTGTGATCTTGTATAATTTGAGATTTTCATTCGAGGTAAATAGTTGTTTTCTCTACTGTTGTAGCTCTGACACAGAATTCAACCATAGCGCAGAAACTCAATGTTTATATTTTAAGAAAAGCATGAAAATTCAAAGCATTGCTAACTCTTTCTTTAGTCAAACGTTTGCTTTTAAATTAAGCATACAATCAAGTTCATACTATTTGTCTATGAAGGTTGTTCTCAATCTGGTTTTCGAAATAATCATCCTTTACGTTTCAATCACGAAAAATGTGACTTTTTTTATCTAAAAGCACACTAATTTGTTACAAATTCGCTAAGAGATGTTTTATCTCTGCAGATAAAACTGTTTCACAGACTTGATGGGGAAAAATAATTTTTCAGCTTTGTGCCACTTTCGGACAATGCTTCAGCCGACCGGACTCAGTCTTTAGAGAATTTTTCTATGGATCCCAATTATCTGAAGCTTTTTTTGCTGAAACCTATCAGATCAACGGCTAGTCGTTCGTCGGCGCCTTTCACGGTTAGCCGCCTCTGTGTTTGAGTCTATTTTCGGTAAAAATCACCCTTTTTTATTTCACTCTGCTCAAATAACACTTTTCTCTCTTCCACACAACTATTGGTTTATCAGTGACAGTATTCTTGATTGAAAATCAAAAATACTAAAGCTATTCTGAAATATCTATAGATACAATACTCTGTGTCGACGCTAATGAAATATAAGTGTGCACAAGCAACTGATTGCTCAGCCTCAACAAAGAAAAACGAAGACTGACGAGAGTTGTAAAGTCAGCTTACCTGTCTGGCTCAGTGCAACACATGAAAACTCTGATTAGATTAAATTGATATTTGAAAAAATATGTCGTTGGCTGAAAATCTTGCCTAATGAAAGAAACCGAACGCACAAACCGCATATACGCGAAATAGCTTATAGATTAAAATATGGGTCACAAAACGAGGACGTCGCAAACAACTAGATATCTTCCTGAATGATAACCTGATAGCAGAAATCTCTGTTTGATTGAAATTCGAGCAGCCAAACACGTGACTAGATGAGAGTACAAATGGGGAAAGCCTGATTGTCCGACAATACGACTCAAAGTACAATAGTCATCTTAGATAATTTATCCAGTATTTCAGAAGTTTATGGAAGCACATGACTGTATACCTGACTGCAGACAGACACACATACGAACTTGTTTAAATGTTTCTGTATGGCTTTCCTTTCTGCTGAGGGAGAATCATTATTTACATATAAAAGTCTGTTCTCGATGAAAACAATCAAACTCAAAATTTTGAAAAACTGATTACCAATTTGGATTCCTCGATCCCAATTACCTTTGGTCAAACTTTATAAATTACACCAGTATATGTGAACACATGATCTGACACGTGCAAACAAGCTAGCAAGCAAACCCATTTTATTTCGTATGATCATTGCTTCAGTCGACAGAATAATGATCTGCTGTCAAACTTGAGCTCATGCATTCATGAAAATTCTACGAGTTCCATTCGCCACCACTTTCAAGTACTACAAATGGTCACATCATCTTTAGCAATTTTCTTCGTGAATTTCCAACTTCCTTCTTTCCTGTACAATTCTAACTACATATGGTCAACATTTTTTCTCATCGAACCGACTTGATTTTGTCAAAAATTGATGATCAATGACACTCTAAGAAAGCAGATTACTTACAAAAATAATTGTCATTACGCCAACGAAATGCATGATGTTGCCTTATATTCTCCTATTCTAGGCAGCGCAAATACCTATAAGCTCACTAGAACAAAAATAATCTTTTTCTTTTATCAGAGATGTCAATCACAACAATACAATCCTTTTCTTCAAATTGGATTAACGAAGAAAAATCTTGAGTTGATCAAATACGTGACTATTGCTTATCTACGGGATTAACAATTGTGTTCTGTACAGAAGATTGTGTGACGTGTCGTTGATAATAAAGAATCAAATTTGTTCTTCGGATTTAAAACAGCACTCTACAAAGACCGAGTGAAAACAGTTAATATAAAACAGACACGTTTGCTCGGCTCGAAAAGTGATTTATTGAGGAGGAACAAAAGGATATAGGTGTGGGTGTATGATTGAAGAGACGACTTACATCCACACCCACTATAAAATGCTTGTAATATTGTTGGTTCATAGATAAATGTCTAGATCTAGAGAAAAAGTTGCTTTGCACCAATTAGAATTATGACCATAAAGTTGACTAAGGACAGTGGTATTATCAACTCATCTCCATCAGTGTGTGTGATTGAATATAAGCAGTTTATTGAGGTGGTTAGGGCATACCAAAATTAATGACGCCGACACTGCAGTAGTTTGTAATAAGGGTAGAGGAAATTTTCTCTCTGCAGTCTGATAGAAAAAAGAATGCTCTATTTTTCTATGCTATTTGATCATTCTTCAACTAACATCATAAGAATAAAATTTCGATAAGAACTGTTTTTGTGTACAAGTTTACTGATATGTAAGGCAGATCAAATGGCGACGCTTTGCATTTTTTGTATTTCACTTTTCAACCACTTACTAGGTTATATTAAAAAAAATAAAATATACCACAAGATGCAGCGTGAAAAGCTCTACAATTTATTAAGAACAGCTTATTTTATACATGAAATAAGAAAAAAGAAATTTCTCATCATCTAGAAAAACAATTTTTTTTGGAGCAGTGAAAATTGGTCGCACAGAATTTGCTTTTTTTGACAGCAAGAAATATACAATTAAAGTAAGCTTTAATTTGTATATTGTAGTGCTTTTCACGCTGCATCTTGTGGTATATTTTTTTTTAATATAACCT